CTATTTATCTACTTGCAACCCGGGGTGCTTTCGAACTGCTAGGTTGGCAGGCTGCTGGGACTGAACAACGGAGCGCACCCCGCTGCGGGGAATTCGAACCGCTGACCTTTCGATCGGCAGCCCTAGGCGCTGAGGCTTTTACCCACAGCGCCACCGGCGTCCCTATTCCTAGAGATAGCTGCCTAAATGTAGATAATTGAGCATGACCCCAAAACCTAAGAAGGAAGAAGTAACGAGAGTCTCAAATTCAGCTCCAAGACCCAGTCGTCTTGTGTCCTATTCAGAAGAGGGGTGCCAGACAATGATTTGAGCAAAGCTGAGGAAACCATATAAGAATCTTGGGAGTTGTTACTGGCACCAATCTTAACATACAATGAGATGTATTGTTGTCCAGTACTATAATATCAGGTGTACCTTCACGTTCCGTAATAAAAGAACAATGAATGGCATTTGACAAATTACTTAACGAGGGAGATTTTTCCACTAATGCTAATTACTGGGCAGTGGGGACAGGTGGGGGAGAAAACTTATGCCTCTTCTCCAAGCACACTACATTTCTGAGGACAATTCCACTCCCTACCCCCCACACCTGGCATTTAATTTAAAAAACAACAACAACACATCTATGTCATATGTCAGAGGTTTTCAACCTTATTGAGTCCACAGCTCCCTTGACCAACTACATTCTTTCTGCGGCATCCCTGTGAGGCTCAGGAGCCCAGTTATCTCACCTTTTTTCAAACACCCTCCCATGTGGAGTGTTCCCTCAGCCTCCTCTCTCCCCTCTCCTTGGAAGTCCTCCGGGCAGCTGCTGCCGCCGCCCCTGGTCTCTGAGCTTCCCCCCTGCCCCAAAGAGAGGTACCTCCTCATACTGTCCCACAGGAGCCTGGGAAGTACCCCTTGGCCAGCCCCAGAGGCACCATTTGCCTGCAGAGCTTGTAGCCAGGGCTGCTGCAACAAACAGCTGTGCAAGCCTTTGAGAGGCAGAGTTGCAGGAGGCCATCAGAGGAGGGAAGGAAGGAAAGAGGCACAGAGACCACCATTCAAGGCACCCCAGGGTGCCATGGCACCCTGGTTGAAAACCACTGTCATATGTAGTCAGACCACACATTACATTAATCATGTGGATTGCCCTTAAATGCAGGATTTTTCTTTCTCAAATGGCCAGTGTGGAGAACCTAGTATAGTTCAGTGCCCCGTTATAGAGGGCGTTTACCCACCCACCCCAATTGTAGTCTCATTCAGGGGACCTGCAGCACCTGCTCGTTGCATGTGTGGGAATGTTCCTATTAGTTGATCTGGATCAGGAACACATCAGTAGGCAAAGGATTAAAACCAAACCTACCCCATGCCAGGATCCCAGTCCCAATTGGCAACCCTGCGCTAGCTATTTGTGAAAGAAAAATATTATATGTAACAGTCACATGATTAATGAAATGTGGGTTTGGCCCTTTTCTGTATCATCTGTGGGATGAAAGACAACATGGCAACTGCTCTCTATGCTAGCTAAACCCATGCATTCATTCTTCAGCAGATTGGGAAGGAAGATTTGGTGGTTTGCAAGCAAAATAAAAACCTCACACTCCATAACTCTTTAGACAACCATCCCTAGCACTTGTGGCAAATGGGTATATCTTGAGAGAGAGGTTCATATATGCATCATTAACTATGGGCACAGAAAGATGGACTGGGTAGCAACTTGGACGGGAGGATGGATAGATGTGCCCATAGTTCTTTAGCTGAGCTATACATGACAGAGTAGTTGCCTAGAATGAGGCATAGTATTCCATTGTCTATCAAATCCATGGGGGTTTGCCTTCTCATAAAGTGCCAGTTCAGTTATTGTTCTGGGTTTCTGTCCCTTTCCAGACAATCACAGATGCAAGCCCCATGAAACGCTCTGCCTCCATGTTGGGCCACTCACGCTCCAAAGGCATGCACTTGGATGACTACTCTTTGGAAAGGGTAATCCCAGAGGAGAACCAACGGCATCACCGGCGGCGGGAACGAGGCCACCGGACATCAGAGCGCTCACTCAGCCGATATACTGATGTGGACACAGGTCAGATTGCAGGACCGGCAGGAGTAAACGCTAGAGACAGAGGCTTCAGTCCTTTAGTTACTTACTTCAGAATAGTTGCAATCTTTGCTACTGTCACAATTCCAAAGAGTAAATTATATGGCAGTCTTAGAATTATGGTAGCTGGTCAAAGTATATATGTAAAGATCTAAGGCTTCTTGGCAATCATCTTAAGGTGTGAGTCTCTCAATAACTGGTGAATATGTTTGATGTACACAGTATAATTGTACAGGTATATGCAGGTTTTCTTTTTATTGCACTATAGTTCCAGAGTGCCCCTCCAGGTGGCAGTAATGTGGTAACACTGAGAAGAATCACATACGGTAATTAATAAAGAGGAAATGTGTAGTGAGTTCACTATAAATCTGCCGCAGATGCACTATTACTGTGTCAAAGATATGTTGCGGAAAACACCTACATACACAAACAAAAAGTATGTAGGGGCCTTAGTCTTTAAAATGTTACAAAACTGTTCACTGATTTTCTTGCAGCATGTGAAATGTGCAAATGCATACTTGTGCTCTTTTAGAGGCGTTGCATAATAGACCTTTATAATAGCACATAAGGTTTATGAGAAATGTAAGATATGTCTCAGGTACTTTCATTCTTGCTTTCTTTGCAGATCAGTCCTTCCCCAAACTGTAGGTCAAATGTGTAGGGGATCCAGAAGTACTTTTGGAGCATTTTGTCAGCTGAGAGCCTACTTTAAATTGAGGACTCACTGGAAACCAATTCTGATCCCTCTATGAAGGGACTTCTGCAAGCCAAAATAATTATGATGTGGGTGATCCATGAACTGGATCTCCACAGTTTAAGTGTTAATAACAGCAATAGAGGGGTTGTTCATATTGCAACTGCAGCACTAGGAGTGTGTGTGTGTGTGTGTGTGTGTGTGTGTGTGTAGATTAAACCCTTTAGCATTGTTTTTCTGATTAATATCAGCAAACTGAAATTTTGCTTGCCATGCACTTCAAAAGCTTAATTAATCTTGCCCACATGGGGCAAATAGCTTGGGGAGGACAATTTTAATTGGGGGAGTGGTGGCATGAGGGGTTTTTTTAAGCCTCCCCAGTGCTGCAGTTCTGTCCCCCCCCCCCACTCCTCATGCCCTCTGCTCTAAAGTTGTTGTTAACCTCCAAAGCTGATACTTGCGCTGCAGGGCAAAACATATACAGTGGTACCTCGGGTTACATACGATTCAGGTTACAGATTCCGCTAACCCAGAAATAGTACCTTGGGTTAAGAACTTTGCTTCAGGATGAGAACAAATTCACACGGCGGTGGCGCAGCAGCAGCAGGAGGCCCTATTAGCTAAAGTGGTGCTTCAGGTTAAGAACAGTTTCAGGTTAAGAACGGACCTCCGGAATGAATTAAGTATGTAACCAGAGGTACCACTGTATATTCTGTTTTGCCCAGGAAGGCAAATAGCAGCTTTAAGAGTCCAATTTTCATCAAGAAAATGGCATCATGAGGTTTTAAACCACCACCACAACACCAGTACTATCGTACTCTCTTCCATGGCTGCTGTTAACATTTTAATCAGCTGTGGAAGATCCTGTTCACAGATCTCCCCCATCAGTCTTGATTTAGCCCTGAGTAGCTGCTTGAGCTTTTGAAAAGACAGACTAGAAAAGCAATATACTTTGGTATCTGAGTCCTGAGCACATGTTCCTTCAGGTTCACAACATCAGCCATGCAAAACGTTGCCTTCAGGATTTCCTTGTGGTTGCTGTTCTCCCTTGTTGCTTAGATGCCAGGGAAGGATGGGGACATATGTTGACATATACAGAATATTTCTAACTGAAACATTCAACCTTGAACTGCCTTCTTTCTTCTTACTGGCAGGGCTGGGCACGGACCTCAGCATGACCACACAGTCAGGTGACCTACCTCCCAAAGAAAGAGACCAAGAACGAGGCAGGCCAAAGGACCGGAAACACCATCACCATCACCACCACCATCATCACCACCACACATCTTCTGACAAAGAGCGGTACTCACAAGAGAGGCACGAATATAGCCGGCCTCGCTCCAGAGATCGACGTTGGTCTCGCTCACCCAGTGAGGGCCGAGACCACATGCCTCACAGGCAGGTGGGTGTGGCTTTCCATTCCATGCTGCGCCCCTAGGAATCGATCCAGGTGTGTCCAGTACAGAGAGAGTCTCTGCTCTTAAGGAATCAAGCTCCAATTACCCACCCTGTTATTAGTTTCTGGATCTCTCTGATGGAACTTTGTTATCCTGACTGGCCCAAGCAAGACCTGTAGATTCTATACATACAGCAGCTGCACATGAATGGACATCCCATGTATTGCTAAGGGACCACCACATTACTAACATAGTGCAGTGAGAATGCCGGGTGAGCATGCCTGCACTGAAGTGGCTGCACCATTGTAAGCACACTTCTGAATTTAACCAACATCAGAACTTGCAGAGTCTGACCAAGCGTGATCTGGCTCAGCATTTTGTCCAGCAGCAGCCATCCAGATGTCTCTGAAAGTTCATGTGCAAAGTAGGAAGATGGTAGCCACCCTGTGTGATTTGTCTCCAGTATCTGGTACTCAGAGGTAAACTTCCTCTGAACATAGGGGTTCCATTTAACTATCATAGCTATTGACAAATCCCCCATGCAATTGTCTAAGCTTTGTCTTGTTTCACATCAGTTGTGATTTTGTGAACTTCGACAATTTCCACTATAGTATTTTTTTTCTAAACTAAAAAGGCCCCAAAACTCATTTTCTATCTGTTTTACATCTCTAGGATAATCTTTTGCCATGGGAGACCCTAACTCTTCACAGTATTCAAAACATACCATAGATTTATATGATGTCATTTCAATATTTATTTTATTTTTATTCCTTTCCTTTCCTAATTGTTCCTGGCACATTACCATGGCACAGTATTCAAAACATACCATAGATTTATATAATGGCATTTCAATATTTATTTTATTTTTATTCCTTTCCTTTCCTAATTGTTCCTGGCACATTACCATGGCACATGGATGTTTTCTGTAAGCTTTCCACTATAGCTCCAAAATCTCTTTGCAAAGCAGTCACAGCCAATTCAACTCAATCAGCATACATATCAGCAGTCAGATTTTTTTCCCTCCAGTGTGCACAATTTAGGACTTATTTGTAATGAGTTTAATAAGCATTCTGTTGCCCATTCACCCATTTTGGAGAGACCTTTTTTGAACTCTTCGCCATCTGGGTTTTGCTGTTCTGAAAAGAAGAGAAGAAGAGACAATTAAACTAGTTTAAGTCTTTGGAATAGATATGTTTATATATGCAGAAGCTTCCATTGCTGAGATCCAGAAAAGATGGGTGTGGATGACGATCCCTTCTGAATCAACATTACAACTACACACAAGGGCTCATTTCCAGTAAATGGTGCAGAGGAAACTCCCTATTGCATTTTGCCCCAAGTGATATCCTCCTTTCCTCCCATTTCAGGAATTGCTTCCTCAAAAGATACCCTCTTGCTTCATACCTGTCCACCCTTCTTCAGAGACACAGCAGGCACTTCACACACAGTCTTGTCTGATCCTGATCACCTATTGACTTACACACTCACACAATCACAATGTGTATGCACAGATAAGTATTGCGATGTCTGTGAAACCCATTTACAATATCCCTGAGGCATCACAACAGGAAACCACAAGTTCCTGTGGCTTGGACAAGGCTGCTTAGGCTGTGTTCCTGCTAATTATACACATATCATGGACAGCATATTTCATGGCACTTATATAGAGAAAATGGGTGGAAAATTCTGTCACCTTTATTACTGGAGTACATCCTCTGATCAAAATAAGACAATTGAATAGTATCAAAAAAATTCAGTTCATTCAAAGCTGAGTTCACACCTAAGGAAGTATGGGTTTGCAGGGTTTGATTTTCACAGGGCTTAGTCTGGATTCATTCTATTGCAGTGTTTGTATGTCTACAGCTTTGGAACTGGAGCAATGCCAGGACTGCCAATTTGATAGTGCAGTTGGCTCCCTCCATATATTAATGCAGCATGTTACCCCATCTCCATTCCAAATATTATATCCTGTAATGGGCCAAGAAAACAAAGGCTATCAAACTCACACTGAAGCTCACAACTACATTCCTTATTTATATTCATAGTGTGGTACAAAAGCCAAAGAAATAATAAAGCCTACCACTTTAATTATAGAGAAAATTGAACAACATAAGTGTAGAGCCTCAAGACAGGGGTTGTGCCCAGCTTTATGTGAACTGCATCAAAATTTTATTGGGGGAATGAGAATACAATTACTCGATGAGACTCTTCTTAAGGTCCTTTATTCCTTTGTTTTCCATTTATTCTCCCCACTGCTGCACGCCGCCCCTCCGTTATCACACACAAAGTCATTTTCTTTGTTCCTATTTGTTTCCTTTGGACAATTTGGACGCTTTACTCGGGGTCTCCTGGCCAATCTGCCTTTATTTACATGTTTATTTCTGTATCCGTTGTGCTTGGCTCTGCTGTCACGGCGAGGGGCGGGCGCAGGTAAGATGGTTGGTGAGCAGAGAACAAAAATTCAAACCAATCCAGCGGATGGCCCTGCCTAGCTCGCTGGCCTATTTCTCCAGTGTCTGTGGTGTGACCCCTTTATTGTTACGCTGGTGGCACTGAACTCTCTGGGGTTTGTGAATCTGGAAAGTTTGGAATGAAGCTGCACCTGAAGAGACAGGCACACATGTAAGCTGTGCATGTCACATCCAAGCAAAACAAGAAAAAAGCAGAAATACATGCATAAACTGTAGGCATGCATGCAATGAGCGTATATAGGACACAGGATATATGGCAGGCATGGAAACATGTGGCCTTGCAGATGTCAGCTCCCATCTTCCCTGACCATGGGCCATGCTAGCTTAGGCTAATGGAAGTTGTTGTCTACCAATAGCTGGAAGGCTTCATATTCCTCATCCCTGGTATATGGGAGAGGGATGCCCAAGGGTGTGACAAGACTGAGGTACTGATAGATTTTCTCCAGCAGGGGATCAGTCAGATAGCAGTTTCAGGAGATACTTAAATTGGAATGGTGAAGTGTTGGATCCCTTCCTCTAGTGTAATGGGCCCAATCTATGTCCCTACAGCTGCTTATTTGTTTAAAGAAGCATCAGGATATACAGTCACAGATCTCCTGACCTAGTCCAGTTTAGCCCTAAAATTCTATCCTAGGAAATTTCAAATTATGCAGTAATATATTTTGAACATTAGGCATCTTCTCATAAAATTGACTTGACTTTCAGTAATGTATTCAGACTGCAAATTCTGGTTCTTCTGCAAAATTTAGTAAGGAAAAGAGGACACTAAAAACATTATGTAGAATACATATTATGGAGTTTGAACTGGGATAAGAAGCTATATTGGGAATGGAGATACAGTCTATGATCAGTGGGACCACCTTGAATTGTCAACAGAAATTGCCCCTATGTTTTAAAGTTCTTCCTGCAGCTCTGAGGGATTCCTCTTGTACATCCCCAAAATAAGAAGTTGAGAATCAAAGGATTCTTGCAGAATACCTATGTTTGGTTCTAGAGATCTAGGTTCTGTGGCATGCAGCTGTGGTCTCTTGTAGATGGTGGTCTTCAGATACACAGACACATACCAAAATTAGATACAGACACATATGATACATACATACACACACACACACACAAAGACACCCCACACAGATTTTGAGTCTTATGGCATACAAAAAGTTGTAAGTACAGCTAATACTGAGAGATGCAGGGCATGCATGTGTGTTTTTAATACAAAAGGATGCGTATAAATTGTGTAAGTAAATATTCACAGCATACTAAAATACACAGTACAGGCATGGCATAACAAATAATTTGCAGGTTTGTATGGCATACATAGGCATTCATAGATGCATGTATGGTGCAATATGATACAGAAAGAGATTTCATTGAAATACGTATGTGTGAAATTCCCGGCAATGTGGTTATGTACATACACATGCACACACATGAGCACATTCAAAGCATACAAAAACTTACTTTGTAAACCTAGGATAGCTTTCCTAATTATGATTCCTGTTTGGTTTGGTAGGCTTTTCCTTCCTGGTGCTACTTCAATTACTCTCTCTGTCTTGGTTTCTCTCTCTCTCTCTCTTTCTTTCTCTCCCTCTCTCCCCTGGTCTTCTTCTGACCATGAATCACTTATAATCAGCCCAAGAAAACTGTAGCATGGCAGCCACTTTCAAGTACCAAGCAGCACGGAGCTGCTTCAGTGGTTAGCAACACATTCTCCCTTAAAATATGTTTCCATATTAGATCGAGGTTAATTATATTTTAAAAAACCCACCAGCAAGCAGTATTCTCTTCTATTTTAACTTGTCCTTCATATTTAACTCTCTTGGGCTGGAGTTCTCTCAGACTTCTACAGTAAGGCCTTCTTCTTTTTTTTACTATGCCATGAACCATTATTGTCCTCCTGTCTGAACAGACCTCAAGACCACCTCCAGCTCCCCTTTGAGGTAAGTACACCATTCTCTTCCTTTTTTAAAAAAGTATATATCCAGAGATAACTTTCAGCAACAATGGACTTAACCTCTCAGCTCTTTGAGATGCAGCCTCCCCTTTCTTCTTCAGATTTATTCAATCTTTGTAGGTCTATAGTTTTCCAGTTCAGCCCAGATTCTTCCCAAAGACTATTCACCATGTGTGTGACACAACTGCTCGCCTAAGGCAGATTAGTTTATACATCTAATTGGGCCTTCTTCATTTATCTCAGATTCTTGTCACCTTTCGCCAGGCTTATGTAAATTGCAATGCCTGCACATCTGGGTTTTGGTAATGTTCAGATCTCTCTTAAAGACGTTTGCACAGCTCCTGCTTGGATATTGTGATATAGTCTTGTGACACTGTCCTGCTGCACTTGAAGAGCAGCTTTTACCACGCTCCACCTTTTGAAGAGTGACTGCTGACTGGCTCACAGATTCACTTTATTCACAGCTATGGAGCTATTTCCTTTTCATGGCTGGCATAGAGTGGCTGGTCACTTGAACGATGCCACAGGCCTCTTCTCACAACTTGGTGCAAGACCCAGGGCAACCACATTGCAGGTTTTTCAGGTGCCTCTCTCCAGCATTCTAGTTCTATAAGGCTGAACTCAAGCTAGATTTCCACTACTCTCAAACTACTCTTCTGAAGTTCTCTTGTCCCAATTGGCTAATCACAGATGCAAAATTATTTCATTTGATTACCAACTTGGCTTCACCTTCCTGGGTGATTTACAGAGTCTATGTGTACACATCTGTCACTTTTTATCATCAACAGCTGGAGTTTAAAGGTCTTATTAACCTGTTGAGGGCCATCCAAGTGGGGTCTTTTATTACTAGAGAGGTGCCAACTCCCATGAAGGAAACAGGTGCCTCTGCATGTGTGGCTACATCATTGTCTTTTCACTTTTTGTTGGTTCAGCCAATACTAGACACTATCAGACGCTTCTCATAGCAATAACACTGAACCATTCAGCCATTTTTAAAAAATCACACAAAGTTTGCTTTCTGAGTGTGCTTTATCTGAAGAGACCCATCACAATGAGTTCAGCCTCTTTGAAGGAAACTGATAAAAATTTTGCTTACAGGGAAAGTGACAACAGGAAGGGTAGAAGCAACTTACCAATGGTTACCTAATGATAGCAACAAAAATAAAAGACTGGACCTGATTCAACTAAGTTGTTGCATTAGCGGAAGCCAGTGCAACAAGTCCCATTAGTCCATGTTTGTGTTGACAGAAAGATCTCCTTAGTGTGAGGTTGAATTCCACCCACTGTTTCTAAAGCGAGTGATCATTAACTATTCTAACACATTTATTCTTTTAGTTGGGGTGAAGTGAAGGATATGATCTGAATGTTTAGTTCAGGATTCAGCTCTGCCAGATGCTTCTTAGAAAGCTACCCCCAATTCTCTCTTTTTTAGCCTTCCTCAGCTTTGAACTTCATACTTCTTACCTATAGAGCCAAAGGCACCATGTAAACTCTCAAGAAATGGGCATTAGAAGCACCTGGAAATGTAGTGCAGTCTATCTTTGACCAAGATGCAAAGAGACATTGCTGCTGGCTTCAATGAACACTGCATTTTTTGCTGCTCAGATGTTAAAAACATATTGTTTCCTGCCTTAAGAAACTGCTAATCAAATTTAACTTTAAAAGCACTACCTATTTAATATGAAATTATTTCTAATATGCCATGGAACCTTATAGCACTGCACAGCCAAGTGAGTGTGTGTTCCTGATGGGAAAATATCAGTGACTATCCTCTTTGTTCCTCATTTTAAACCAAACTGGAACTTATTCTCTCATCCATATTCCTAGATAGAGGTAGTTGTGCTAGAGTCAGAAAATTTTCCTTGCCTGCTCTGTGTCATTTGCTTTACTGTTGGATTTAGTGACAATGTGATAATTGGAGGTCATATCATATAGTACATACCCTGGTACCCAGCTTACCCACTTCCATTCTCTTGACAGCGAAGGAAGTACAGTATCAGTCTTTTCAACACACACCACCTCAGTCACTTGCCATGGAACAAAGCCCCTATCCAAGCCAGACATATGAAAATCCCTCTCTTTCATTATCTTGCCCATCTGTCTGATCTGCAGTCATTTTACTAAAAATGTGTACTTTTTGAAGTTCATTCAGTAGTTCTCTTTCTGGCTGCTATAGTCTGGCACAAGACTTAATGGAGGTGGGGGTTTACACACAAGTTTTACATCTGTTACTAAATCAATCTAATGTGACATATACAGTGCTCAGAATGCATATTTTATTTCTTCATATTAACAAGATTTATTTGTGGAACAAATAGTATGACATAACTCATAAAAACTCATTTGAGCCTAACAGTCCAAAGAATTGGTGAAGTAAGACAATTAGTAAGACATGAGCCCTTCAGCTTCACAACTGGAGTAAACTGCTCAGTACTGGCAATATAATAAAGGACGTTGCCCGGGATCTAGTGGTCTCAGTCTTGTGCATTTAGGGTTTTGTTTTGCTTTGTTACTGTCTTCCACATGTTATTCAAGTAGGGTTAAGGACTGGGTGGAGCTTTGGTCTGTTATACTGCAATCCATCAGGCAATCTGGTCAAGGAGGCCACTTTAACTGTATGTGGGTAGAGGAGTTATAATCCATAAATAATGTAGAGTTCAGTATGCACAAAGTGGGAAACTGCCTCTGAGGTGAACTCTCATTTGGTCCAGGGCTCCACCAGACTGGGGAGCCCACACTGTTGCCTACCTGCCTGAACTGAGAACATGCACGCACAGGCCTTACACCAAGAGCTTAAACATTTCACAGGTACACAACAGCCTCCCTCAAGAGTTCGGCTCTGTTCCAAACTTTTCCAGACCCAGTGCTCTCCCTCACCTTTCCTTGCTAGATTCCCACTTCCACCCCGTCACTCTGTCCCAACCTCCTCCTTCCTTTTTCAACTCCAGATATTTTTCTTTTATTTTCCCCTCCTAACCACTTTGATAACATGCAATATGACCCGTGCTTTGCAAAATCAATCCTGCCCCGCCTCTCTCCTTCAGTTTTTGTTTTCTTAAATAAATTGACCATCACCCTTTTTTGTTTGTTTGTTTTGTTTCCTTCCCCTCCCCACCCCCGCCAAAAAAAAACCGTGCAAGTAATTTTTAAAGCTTTTTGCTGCTTTTTAAACCCTGGAACTTATAAAAACTCCATTTCTCATTTCTCTTTCTGCTTTTGTTTTGTGTTGGATCCTCCCCCCTCCTATTATTATTATTATTATTACCCTTCTTCGTTGTCCCCCTTGCCCTCCTCTCCCTCCCCCCGATGTGGCTGTCGCTTTAATTATTATTTTCCCCGCCGAATTATTTTCGTTCCTTTGCCTCCATTCCCCCCCACTCCTCTTGCCAACTTTGTCCATGTCTGTGTCACCTTCACTCCTGCCCCGCCACTTTTCCTCGTGTCTCTTCTTGGTTGATTTTCCTTGTATATTTTTTCTTTTTGATTTCCTTTGTTTCGATTTTCGTGTAGGGCAGTAGTTCCGTAAGTGGGAGTCCGGTCCTCTCAACGTCTGGCACCAGCACCCCGAGGCGAGGACGCCGCCAGCTCCCACAGACCCCTTCTACACCCCGGCCACATATCTCCTACTCCCCCGTGGTCCGTAAGGCCGTCAACACGGGGCCCCAGCAGCAGCAGCAGCAGCAGCAGCAGCCGCCGTCCGTGCACTCGGGCCGGATCTCCAGCCCAGCCCCGAGGCGCTACCCGTCGCTGCCCGCCGAGCACCACGTCTCCGAGCGTCGCAGCAGGTCTCCGGCTATGGAGCGGCACACGGTCCCGCCGCGGAACGACTCTCCGCGGGCCTACCGACACGCCAGCAGCCGCTGGTCGGCCCCGCACGTCTCCGAGCCGCACCCGGGGCCCCGGCACGGCAGCGGCTACTACCGGAGTCCGGACTACGCGGGCCCCGGCGGCGAGGAAGCCTTCCCCTATGAGACAATGCAGCAGCAGCAGCACGGGAGCAGCTCAGGACGTTCGCCCAGAACTTCCCGGGTGGGCAGCGGCTCGTCCTCTCTCTCCCCCTCCAGGCATGGGCGGCGGCTCCCCAATGGGTACTATCACTCGCATGGACCAGCCAAGTCGCGTGGGACAGGATCACGCAAAGGACTGCACGAACCTTATAGCGAAACCGATGAGGACGACTGCTGCTAACCGAGAAGTGGTTTCACCTTAAACACATGCGCGCCCGCGCGAAACACACGAAACACACACACCCGAGAGGGATGGCATTCCCGGTTGGGGGAGGGGGGAGGGGAGCTGGGAGGGGAGGGAGAGAGAGAGAGAGCGCTTGAGGAAAGAAGGAAGGAAGGAAGAATGGGTGGGTGGATGGATGGATGAATAGCCGCGAACTCAACTGATTTGGGGAAGGCATCCCGGAAGAGAACCCTGCAAACGTGGGCAAGGGAAAGAAACTTTTTATCTTTTGTTGGGGGGGCTTGGGGAGGGGGGTGGGGGACAAGGGTTGGGGGGTTGGGTGGGGAGGCTAGGGAAGAGAGGGTCTGGGAGATCAGAGCATGTTTATCTTTTACAGATCAAGTCGTGTGTGGTGATTTGAGGGTGGGAGGGGGGACGTTACTCAGAATTTACAAAAGAAAATGCACTCAGGTGTGGGGAAATTGTGCAGTCCAAGAGCCCCACGCTACAGCTAACTATGCCTCTGAGAAACGAGACCAGAAGCCACTTTACCTAGGGATGGGTGGGAGCAACAGGAAGGAGTCTGTCAACCTCAGCAAAGACGTTTTGGAAAAGTTTAAGAAACAAAAACCTTTTAAAAAACGTAAAACGAAGCAAAAAGACAAAAAATATTTTTCTGGGCTTCTATTGATGAGTTTTATCATCTCAGTTTACCTGGTTAACTTTAAAAAAAAAAAGTTTTAAAAAAGTTTGTGGCCTGACCTTTTAAGAGGGACACACGCACGCAAACACACACACCCAACACACAAACACACACACACACACACACACACACACACAAACAAAAGGAGTGCTTGCTGGTTATACCAAACCCTAATATTACTGCCTGCAGAGATAAAAAAAAAAGAAATAATAAAACTAAACAGAAAAAAACAAAAAAGGACAAAAACAATTGATAAAAATGAAGCATTTTCTTCTGACATTTTGGTCCTGCTTGAAAAATAAGAAAAAGAAATGACATCAAAAAAATTACTAATTCCTCAGCTTCTTGATTTCTTTTTTCCTACTTTGTTTGAAAAAAAAGTTGAAAAAAAACCTGTGGGATTGGGACTGTGAAATATTGCATGAAACAAAGTAAAAAGACAAATGATGAAAAATTTTAAAAATCCTTTAAAAAAAACAAAAATATTAAAAAAATGAATTTTTAATTGAAATGTGCTTTATTGTTAGTTTCCTCATACTTTGCTCTCTTCCTCCCTCCTTCCCTTTCACCTTTTTCATTTATAATGCTACGTAAAGCAAAATGTGCAGCTATGTATGGTTGATGAGAAGTATTGGTTGCTGCTGAGCTGCAAAGAATGAACAACAAATCAGATCATTAAGCAGAAGCTGTTCAACAAGAGACCTTGGATCGAATGTGGGGTTTTTTATACTCTGATCATTCTCAAGTACACCTATATGTCTGGGTTCAACCACAACGGGATCTCTTACCTAGCTCTTCACCCTGAAAGACACCTAGTTGGTTGTCTGTATATTTTTATACCATACCTGAGGCCCCTGTAGTCAACATCTGGAGTGATATGCTGAAAGCACCAGAGAATGAAGCCCTTTGTCTTCTCTCTTCATCACTGACCCAGCTGCTAGACACATCACAAGGATTGGTGGATGAAATTCGCTATTGAATATATAATGAAAGTGTCATATGGTCTCCATACCTATTTCCCCATTATAACACTGTCTGTCAATATTAGAGTAATGTCAGGGCCAAAAATGGAATTGGGTGTGTGTTCAGTTTACATATGTTACTTTCACACATGTGATGGTGAACAATGCATATTTGCCACTATGTGTATATGTGATGGAGTGACATGGCCAGTCCTGGCTTCCTTGTCTGTACCCATTTGACAGAAGAGATTGCAAACAAATATTTTCCACATACAAACAATGCATGTTTACATGTACATTCATACAAGAGTGGTTCTCAGGGTCATCACATATGGACTGTATTTGAGGCTATTTCAGCAGTTACTCCCCAACTATAAATTGGCAAAAAAAACTGATTATCACTAACAACATCTTTGTAACAGAAGAGAAAGCTACTACACTGAAAGACCAGCTGGTGTACAGCAGCTGTGACTGAAACACTCAAGAATAGCATTATTACTAGAGACAACTGTGGTCACAGGTCTAGCCCTGTATCTGAATTCAGGCAAATCCCATATAAGTGGGCCACATGCAGGTCAGCATCTTGGGCCCCTAACCTTTAATACCCCCAACTCTAGCAACAAAGCTTTTGAAAAAAGAATCACAGGGGCCCATTGAGCACAATCCGAAGGCAAGATCCCTTGTAGGTAAAACAGACATGCTAAAGATTCAACCAGTTAATCTCAAATATAAAGGTAAAGGTACCCCTGCCCGTACGGGCCAGTCTTGCCAGGACTCTAGGGTTGTGCGCTCATCTCACTCTATAGGCCGGGGGCCAGCGCTGTCCGCAGACACTTCCGGGTCACGTGGCCAGCGTGACAAGCTGCATCTGGCGAGCCAGCGCACCACACGGAACGCCGTTTACCTTCCCGCTGGTAAGCGGTCCCTATTTATCTACTTATCTCAAATATAATGCACCATAATGGAACATTTTTATCTATGCCAGAAAAGCCTATCCTATCAAGAGTTTATTTAAAAAATAATACTGTATAACACTTCCTCAACACTGATGAACCCTTGAGTAATGTCTGCTAGTTCAGCAAAGTACAAATGGAGTTTGCAATAAAAGTTTGGCTCACCGTTCTGCAATGCAGCAGGGCTTAGTTGACACTGTTTAACAGCACTGTGTAAGGATCTGTCTTGGGACCAGCAGCTGCATGTTCTCTCCATTGCTTGTAAAAGTGGAAGCCTAGAACATCCAAGAGACTCTTCAGAAGATACTGCTCCTGTGTTGCTCAACACATGAGCAACTAGTAACTAGTCTCTGCATGAGCAGCATGGCAGCCTGCACCAATGGGGCTTTCCAAATGCTTCCTCATGATCTGGAGCCCCAATCACATGAGTGCAGAATGGTGCTTGTGTTGTTTGTGTGGAGACTGGGAGTAGGACTATTCAGCATGCCCCTGCTCCTGTGTGGTCCAGGTTTCAGGACTTGGAGAGCTCATGGGCAAGACCTCTTCCATGGTCCCTGCTCCCATAGTGAATATACCACCCCATCCCTATTAGCACCAGCTTGTGCTGCTCTTCTTTCTTGGCATTGCTGCCACCTCCTTGCTTGCCAGGTCAAAAGCCAGCAAGTTAGCAAGCAATCTATTGCTTTGCCTCACTACTGCTCTCATCTGGGTGAGAATGAGAAGTGGGCAAATAAGCAGGCTGCAGTGGTGAATAGGAGAAGAGGTGCAGGTGCCTGCCTGGGGTGTGGGCCCTTGGCAGATACTTGACCATGCTGATCACGGACACCAGTGTTAAGCAAAATGTGGGTGGTATCTTCTGAATAAAGTTAGAATGGCAGGAAGAACTAATGTGAGTATTCTCTGGGGACAGCACATTATTCTGCAGACATTGATCTAAGGACTAGAAGGGAATTTTGCTACACCACCCAACTTCCTCATGGATGTTCAGGTTCTATAATGAAGTCTCCAAGGAGCTGTCAACCAGAGTGTTAAATTTAAAAAAGCAAGATGTATCACTAAAGTATGGCATCTCACACACACACATTCACTTATTTCCATTAAGAATGTGAATAAAATGTTTATCATTCCTTGATTTAAAATATAGGGATGCTGGCCAGATTAATTTGCTTCAAGGACCAAATCTGGTATGCAGGGGAGCAAGTGGCAATCCCTGGATTCTAGCAGTGCTTTAAGATGCTGTCAGTTTGGCACCTGTAGGTGTGTTAATATGGGAGCAAGGAGAGATGGCCGTGGGCTCCTGATGTTCATGGAAGAAGCCAGTAACATCCCAAATAATGGCCACTAGTGGGGCTGCCTTTGACATACGCTGGAACTAACAAAGCCCCACTTAGAGTTGGCAATAAGGGCAGTGTGTCTACATTTCCTTTTATAGCACTTTAATTTGAAAGGTTTTCCATGAAGGTAGTAAGCCCCACTGCCTGCAGAAATCTAAACTTGCTTTACAAGGCCTTAATTGACCATACTTCAGCACTAATGGTTTACCTAAAGTTGGAGTGAAGCCATAAACTATGGCAACTGCGTAGCAACTACACACATTGTTCACTGCATATCCACCTCATCAGTCACCCCATTACTATTCAAGCACCTGGGAAAACTGTTCAGTCTGGGAGCCTGGACATATGTTTCTGCATTCACAAGTGCAGTTCTGTCATTGAAAAAGGTAAGTTTCAGCATCAGTTGCCACATGGTGAGTCAACAGAGATCACTGCCCTCTCTACCAATGCAAGGGGTTGGCATCCGTCTGTCTTGAGAGACAATGGAATGTGCCTCCAGGGGTGAAGTCTGCAGAGACTGGTAACTTGTAACTGCTGCTTCCCGTGTTGTTTCTGCTGAATGACCAGCACTGAAGTGACCTCTTTGGTGCAAGCCTGGGCTGTGCGTATGGAGGTCCTGGGCCAGCCAGACAACAAGACCTCACTCTCAGCCTCACTGATGTGGTCTAAAAGAAACCAGAGAAATGCATTTGGGATGAGCTTGGCTGCAGGAGTTGCTGAAAGGAGATGTACAAGGCGCCATCCAAGTGTCTTAGGGACTCCATGGATTTGTGTAGGACTTACTCCTTAGCCATTTCTCCTCCCAAAGATGTCCCACAAGGCAGTGGGTATGGATTTTTCCTTGGGGTTTACCCCTGAAGCCTTTATCATGAATGAGTACAGTGGTACCTCAGGTTAAGTACTTAATTCGTTCCGGAGGTCCATTCTTAACCTGAAACTGTTCTTAACCTGAAGCACCACTTTAGCTATTGGGGCCTCCCACTGCTGCCGGAGCACAATTTCTGTTCTCATCCTGAAGCAAAGTTCTTAACCCAAGGTACTATTTCTGGGTTAGCTGAGTCTGTAACCTGAAGCGTATGTAACCCGAGGTACCACTCTATAGCCACAAGTTATCAGAGGTTTAAGACCAGAGTTTTCCTTCTCCTAGATGGACTATCTTCACAGGTACATGAGCCCCTCCCCCCTCATTTCCTTCTACAGCATTTGCAGTAACTGCCTTCTGGACTCTTGGACCCGCTGTTGATCTCATCCGCTTGATCTGCCAGAGCCTGTCTTCACATGCGGGGGAAATCCCTAACTCACTTCAAACTCAGTTTGAAACTGATCGGCTTCCCTCACCTGGTTTAGCCAGTCAATCAAAGCCATTTCCCGGGATATGGCTGCTGTCACATGCTGACAGATTCTATGAAGCTACACAGAAAATAAAGGCCAAGCTGGTAGCAGAGACAAAGCTCTATTACTTGGTAACTCAGCAGAAAAAGAAGATGCTAGCAGTCTGGATGTGCAAGTTCACACTTCCAAAGAGGTAAAGTGGTGTGCTGGCTGTCCCCATAATACTTGTTGTAAGCATCATCAGATGTTTGGATGCCAAACAAAAAAGAAACTGTCAAGCCTAGCCAAAAAGACACCTCTTAAATCCTACATCCATTACCTACTAAAAACAAGAGAGAGTGACGTCTTAGAACTGGTACAGATGCAAACACTGTGGCTGCAATCCTATGGGAATATATCTCATTAAACTCAGCATGACTTACCTGTGCATAGTCATGCATAGGATTGAGATGTATGCGTTTGTGTCGCTGTAAACCACCTGGATGGAACCTGTATCCTGTTAGCTGTACGTAGGTTGCCTGGGAAACTGAGGATACCAAAGTAAAAATATTAAAAATGTTTAACATGAACTTGGGCTTTCCCCCACTTTTTTATGGAAGGAGGATTTGAGTCTTTTAACATCTAGCAGCAAAAAACCATCCCCAAGAATATCCCTATTTCCTCCTGATGGGTGGGAAAGCAATTTATCATTCCCTTCCCATATAATCCACAAAAGAGCCTTCCAACCACATTCCATTTCCCCCAAAAGCCCCACTATACTAAGAGACTGAATAACAACACTGGACTACACTGAAGGTTTGTCATACACTACTGTCTCACCACAACAGCACACACCCAGCAATATTACTACAGCGGTACTGAGTTTCTCTGCAGGGCTAATGCAACCTACACTTTCTCAACCACAATGCAATCCACTGCAGTACAGATATACTAATAACATGGGGCGGGGCTTACATTTGCATTGGCAGGTTCCATTTAAAAGATGTAGATATTGTTATGAGTTTGGGTGGAGGAGTAGGCTGCAGACGGAGACCCTGCTAATGCTTGAATCCCCCTTCTAATTCTTGGAAGGTCATTAAGGGACCAAAGGGGACGACTCTGTGCCAGAGGACAAATGGGTTGGCCTCTCTCCCTTGGCAATGATGAGACCTAAAGGAAAAGCAGCAAGCTTTGCAGTTTTACGTTTCCTACTTCCTGCACTCGACAAAACAGGCGCTCAGTTAATAGTCACCGCCCACTCTTCTCAGCCAGCCAATTGCAAGGGCTCCGTCAGCCTGGCGCAAAGTTAATTGAATGAGTTTCAAAGCAGGGCCGCCCACCAATCGCTTTCGTTTTCCCCCCACCCACGGAAGGCGTGGCTTGCCCGGAACCCTGCTCTAGTTGTCATGTGAGTGGCTGGTCACATGACCGCCTCTCTGGCAACTGCTGCAGGAGCTTCAGCTATGGGGCTCCGCTCGGGTTTGGGGTTCTTGATGGGGGCAGCGCTGGTGGCGGCAGCTGCGGCGACATGCGGTTACCAGGTAAGGCGGTCTGCGTCTGCACGGGTGTTATGGGGGAAGGTAGGGTGTCCCACTAAATTCTGGGTTCTGGCGCCGAAGAATGGAGAAGGTTGTGCGGAAGGTTGAGAGGCGCGGCGGTCTAGGAGGTGCCTATATGGAGAGAGTGGGATTCGTGAGGTCTAAATGAAAAGGGAGGTCGTACGGTGGGAGGAAACGGAGAGGATCCTCCGTTTAGGCTGCTCAAGAAAAAGATCGTGAAGAATCACTAAAGAATTTTATATGGTATTCTGCAGGAGTGCAGCAGTAGGGATTTATTTAAACCCAGGGTCCTTTTTGTAATCCATTGGGCAGGAAAACTGAGCAAAATTAGCAAGGTGACCTGCTATGAATACGGCTAGGCCATTACTTAACTGAAAAGAGGAAGCCTGGGGGATTCTGTAAAGAAAACCCTTCGAGAAAGGAAGCACACTGATGGGGGACTCAAGACTATGCGTATAGCTTTGTCATTCTTCTTAATTTGTCTGAAATAACTGTTAACTACTGTTAACTATTTAGATCCTACAGCTGCACTCCCTATAAGGATGAGCTGAAAGGAGCAAGAGAGTGCCACTCTGTAAATTAGGCACGAGTGGATGGTAAGAGATAGTTGCTGAGGCCAGAATACTCTAAAGGAGGAACCTGAGAAAGGGGGTGGGTTGTGGTCACGAGAAAATTGTCAGATGCACAAAGGAAATGGGGGTGGGAGGTGTGGCCAAATTGGGAAGATTCAGCTACAGAAGAGACTGTTTTTGCATCTGGGACTGCCCACACAGTTCAGGTTTTAGTTTTGGTGCAGGGCTGAAGACTAAGAACACAAGATTTGCCCCACTTAGACCACACCAAGGTCTATCTATTCCTGATATGGTCATTCCTGAATATCCAGTATTCTGATGCATCTGAGCATAATTTTATTGAGCTAATTTAGGTGTAGCTGACATTGTGCTTTGCAGATGCTGTTGGGCTACAGTTCCCACCATCACTGACCATTGGTCATGCTGACTGGCACTGATGGAAGTTGGGAGTTCAACACCTTCTGGAGGACACCATGTTTGCTGCCCCTTGATTTATTTTAAAGCTATGTAGGCTAGTGGCCACAATCATATTCAGTGTTGGTTAATTCCGTAGACAGTGTGACTGAGAACCACCTTCAGCTTTCCACTGCTGTCCCCAAGGTTGTTTGGATGGAATCTGCTAATCCATTCTGCCTTTCCACAACTGCAAATCTCCCAGAGAGCTGATGATTCTTATTCTGTAAACACTGATGTTTTTGAGATGGGTTGAGAGCGTGGGCGGATTAAGGATTCAAGGCTGAGCACTCTGGAAAGCTGATTCAGTGTTTGTTATTTCCCAATTAGCTATGTCCTTCATGTTTGATTTGCTACCTGACTTCCCTATCTACTTAATGTTGTTCCCTGGGCAACTCTCAGTCTGAATACTGAGCAAACTTAAGTCAAGGTAAAATCTCCTACCTGTCCCTCAGCTTCTGGGAAATGGCTTCACTGAAGGTCAAATACTTATCTTTGCACTCCTGATTCTCCTCTGTTAGTAAATTCTGTGCCTATGCACATCTCCACACTGGCAGCACAAATGGTCAGCTTCACATAGGCAAGGCACAATAAACTGAGATCAAATGCCAGGGTCAATTGCTCACGGGGAGCAAGGTCTACTCTTGGAGTAATGAAATCCAGGCAACCTGTGAGACCTATAACACCTGAAAGCGGTAAACTGTTTCTGTTTGCCAGTGCAGCACAGCAGAAACATTCTGTTAATCTGAATGTCCTCACTTTGTGGTTTCTACCCTTGCTTTGAGCAGTATCTTTTGACCCTCCAACCAGAGCTCTGCATTTTACATGGAAGAGAGTTGTGTTAGTGCAAAGATTAGTGATAGACCAATGGAGTTTCCCCAGATCTGCTCTGGAGAGTGGGAGAAACGGGGGCAGATTTATGGAGCATGCAAGGCGAGAAACATTCCACCACACAGGGAAAAATCTTAGCTCTGAAAGAACATTATACTTAGCTCTACACTGGGTACAACCCTAAACATTTTAGGCATCAGGGTTGTCTCATCTCAAGCTTTCAATAGATAATATATATTTATTCTGCCTTTAATTTTCATGAATAACCTTTGATTTCTGCTGTGTTACTTTAAGTGCTTCTATTGTGTTTTTTGGGGAAATGTTTCTCTTTTTTATCAACTGATTGTATATTTTATTGTTAGCTGCCTTCAAGCCTTGTGCTAAAATGTGAGTTAGATAATTTTTTAAAAATAAATAAAATCAGTGCTAGAACATTGTAGACCTCATTATCTGCTGTTCTGAAATCTTCTGAATTGTGCTTCTCTACAAGCAGCAAGGAATTCTGGATCCCAGCTATTGTAAGCAAAGGGTTTATATTTCAGTAGAAAAATTACTGTACCACTGAAACTGTATGCAAAATGTTTAGTTACCAATAGTATTAGCCAGTAGCGCTTCCCTATCTTGTAGCTAGCAGGAATTGTTTCTGCCTCCTTCACAGTTATACTGAGTTATACTACCTGTTTAGATGACTGTGGCTTTCCTGTGGCAGATTTTGAGATGTTTCCTTGTGTATATATTGTCTCTCCTCGCTCAGAAATGCGTTTTCTCTCTCTCTCTCTCTCTCTCTCTCTCTCTCCTTTTAGTCCTGCCCAGTGACAAAGCCCGACATGCTCAATGTTCACCTTATCCCACACACACATGATGATGTGGGCTGGCTAAAGACTGTGGATCAGTATTTCTTTGGAGGTGAGTTGAAACTGTGAAGTAAGCTTGTAAGCGGTCTCACAGCAAGGCCTGGCAAAAGGCTGTAAGTTTCTAGGATCTGTACTTTAGGTTAAGCAAGAGCCCTTCTCTGAGTTTAGTGTTGAGTCTATGAAACGTGGCTCTAGGCATAGTAGACCAGTGTGGACATGTTTGGATTACTTTCCCTCCTTGAAACGGGGGATCAGTCCACAGGGCTGGGCTGCCTCGCCTTTTGACTGACTGGACCGTGTTGGGGGAGTGATGCCCTAGTGGAGCAAAACCTTGTACCTCATTTCCAACAGACAATTGCAACAATCCTTAGTGTTTATATATGCCGTAAAAGGCAGTTTAGATATAGTTTCACAAGGTGTGAAAAATGCATTCAGAACTTGTTTAAAGCTCAGTAACCTTTGCAACAGTTCTCTAAGGTGCACACATATTATTCACTCCATGTTAGAAATGAGGGTTGAGGTAAAGAGATACAGTGGTACCTCAGTTTACTAACTTAATCCGTTCCGGAAGTCTGTTCTTAAACTGAAACTGTTCTTAAACTGAGCCGCGCTTTCCCTAATGAAGCCTCCCTCCGCCAGTGCCCTTCCACTGTTCGGATTCCGTTCTTAGACCGAGGTAAAGTGTGCAAACCAGGACACTACTTCTGGTTTTGTGGAGTTCGTAAACCGAATAGTTCATGAACAGGGCTGTTCTTAAACCAAGGTACCACTGTAGTACTTTCTCTTAACCATAGTTCATAGCTGAGGTAAATTTTTAAATCGGGGGCTTCTTGGCCTACATGTCATGCACTTCATTTTGTGTTAGACCTGCTGGGTCTGAGCTGTAAATTGCTGTTCAAGTAGTCCATATGTTGTTTCCCACTGCCTCTGTGAAGAAGCCACTGGGAGATAAGCCTTAGTGCTTTCTACGTCAACATCCTGTTCTGAAAGCTGCAGGTTGGTGGGTGGATTTTGCATGTTTCCTTTCAAGGCCAGAACAGTGCCACAATTGCAGATATTAGTTGTGACAGCTGTTTGAGGAATGACAGGATATTTGTATGGTGCCACATAATGTGAAGTTCTCTGCAGGGACGTACGGTACATAAATAAAATAAACAAACACAACCATTAAATGGGGAGTTACATAAATATAACAAAAAATAACATACCACAAACAATAAAATTAAAACAAACAAAACAGAGGCCCAGATTATCTCCTAATTTATTTAAATATGAGATTCTGCTCTTGGTTGTCTTCTTCAGGGGGGGACTTGCTTCCATCTAGCCAGTACCTGGAGAATTTTTGGTCCAGGCATGAGCTATCTGATTCCTCCTCACCTTCTCCCCATCCCTTGTCCGTTGCCTTGCAGTCCGCAACGACATCCAGCATGCTGGGGTGCAGTACATCTTGGACTCCGTCATCCCGCAGCTACTGGCTGACCCCAGCAAGCGTTTCATCTACGTGGAAGTGGTCTTCTTTGCCCGCTGGTGGGGACTGCAGACTGAAGCCATGCGCCAGGCCGTGCGGCAGCTTGTTGCGGAGGGTAAGTATGACGGGCAGAGTGGGGCCCCTGTCTCCGTTTCCCACCTGGCTTCTCTGTGCACATAAGGAAGACGGGGAGCTCTTTGCCTCTAGGGGTGGGGGATCTTTCCTGAGGGAGAGTGGCGAGCAGGGAGCCAACTAGTTACTGTTTTATTTGTTCCATTTGTGAAACGTCTGAGAGATTAACAAGAAAAAAATACATAAATGTATGGGTTGCCAAGGCAGCAGAGCCAGCTCAAAAGTCTTGCTGCAACTGAGGAAATGAAGTGAGTGGCACTGCTTTCACTTGGCATAACCCAGAGAGCGCTCTCTCTCTGCCCCACATCTGTGCGAAAGCATGCAGATACGGCTTCTCCTGCTCTGCTGTTCCTCTCACTCCCTCTCCCACCTGCTGTGGGGCGAAAGCAGTGCCCTGCTTTCTCCAGTTGGCTGAAGTGGGAGGGAGCAGGGTAGCAAAAGCCATGAGAGCGGAGCC